GGAAAATAATATTAAATTAACCTTAATTATTATTAATTATATTATTAAAAATAATAAACTTTAATAATGTAATTAATTAATTAATTGATAATAATAATAATAATAATAATAATAATAATAATAATATTATTATTATTATTATAGAACGAATATGATACAAATACCCTTAACCATTATCTTTGAAAAATGAAAAAGAATGGCAAAATGGACATTGCACCACCATTGTGCACCAAAATGGTGCAACCGACATTGCACCACCCTTTTGCACCAAAAAGGTTTCCATTGGAGATGGCCTTTATCTTGGCATTTCTTTGTAAAACACTACTTTAAACATTCAACACAAAAATTAATGTTTTGTGTGACACAAACATGGACGAATTTAGTATGAGGATAGTGGGTTCGGATGTCTCCATGCTCAATGTCAAATCCCTTAATTTTTATTTTAAATTCCTTATAATTAATGATTTTGCCGCTATAATTTTAGTTATAGAAATTTGTCCCTCCCAACTCCACAATCCTAACTTCGTCCCTAGACACAAATAGACATTTATTTAATAAAATTTAATTAGACACACCTCACAAGTCTCATAAAGTAACATCAATTGTATTTGCACATTTTATGTGACCATAGTAAATTGACCTTTTTTTTGCAATTTCTTCATGAATTTTCTCTTGTACCATCATCATGTATGAGTCATATACATGTGAGGAAATTGTTATTTTGTAACTCTGGAGAAATCTAATCCCCTTTAATTCACAAGGGATGCTTCTTCAATTTAGAGTTAAAAGGGGCCCTACAAAAATTATCCATCTTTTGATGTCTTCAAAAAGCCATACTTATTATCTTTGTAAGGCACCTCACCCACAATGTGGGCTAGTCATATCTTTCCCGAGAAGGAATCCTAACTATTCATGATATGGCACTCTTGTTACTTTTTTTTTATTATTATTAAAAATGTATTTTTGAAAAAAAAAATGAAAGGTTGGATATTTAAAAATTTGTTTAATTGAAGATAATGGCTACATACATCATGTATATTACTTTTATTTTAGTGTAATGTTGTTAAATTATTATAGTGGTTATTGATCTTAATAATATATATTAGTGAAGAGCATGGACGGAAAATAATTTTCTGAGATCACAAGAGAATGAGGAAATATTACTATGTAGATTTTGATGGGTTAAAAAAAAAATTAAAAATAGCTCATACGTGTACTACAATTTTTATACAAGTATATATATGCACTACATAACGTTTTTCACTCCATTTATCGTCCACGTTTACATATATAATTTTCATCTCTTTTCAATATCAGACTTGACCCAAGAATAGTATTCTTACGATGGAGCTTACAAGTATTTTTCTCAACAAGTTTAATGAAAATTAACAATCTTAAGGACACTCAAGCATTCGAAGAAAGATATATGCAAATGTATACGAGGATCGCCTCATCAAATCTCCACTAATAGAATATCCCGACAAAGCAATAAGCACTTGCTTTTCCTAAGAAAATAGGTAAATGTTGATTTTTATTTTTTTTCGTGGAAAGTATTATTTTACTTATGAGTTGTAATGTATTAACTCTCATCATCTTCCTTTTGAACATATGAAATTAAGATGGTCCACTGAAAGAAAGAAATTTATGTTTGACGAAATGCTAATATCTGCTTTGTAGGATATTCGTATTACTCAATTTTCCTTTGAAATTTAGCACTTCGAGAAAAAAGTTTATTGGTATGATAATTTATTGCAAAATTTATAGCCATCATTTTGCTTTTTGACCAATTCAGTGATAAAATTGAATGGATAGGGAATGGCTCCTGAGGTTCTTGCCAAGTTTGTTTAATTGTCTTAAAAGACATTTGACGATATTCTTGATAGATCACATTTCTTTACAAGAATACAACCATCCCGTTCAAATCCCTAACTCCGAACCAGATATACTTATAATAGGGATGGATCCAGATTGGATCTAAGATCGAGTTACAAAATTTCAAGTCGGTTAATACGTGAAAAAAAAAATTACGCATAAAAAACTATTTTTACAGGAAAAAAATAATAATAGTGATAAATAAATAAAAATCTTGGGCCTTCGGGGGGGACTATAGCCCAGCCCAGTCCCCCTACATCCGTCCCTGCTTATAAGTTTTATCTTCGACATGTTTCCTTATATCTAACTTGCATCTATTCTTTTATTAAAAAATAAAATATCTAAATATTTTATTATTATTATTTTTTTATACCCAAGTGTTCACCTTACAGCTATTAATCTTGGGGTCTACGATCCAGCCCCTTTTCATCTAGATCGGATAAACCGCGGGTTGTGCTCCAAACTGGCCAGGGTCCAAGAGCCCCTCCAACTGAATTGTCAAAGTGTCGAGCGAGTCAAACTCATGTATGCGCCTTGCCTTTCAAAGAACTCCTGCCTTCCAGGAAATATCCTGCCTTCCAGGAGAAAGTCTTGCCTTCCAAGAGCCCTATGAATCGAACTCGCGACCTCTGAACTGCCCGCCTTGAAGAACTTCATCCTTTGCCAGGAAATATCTAAATATTTGTTTATAAAAGGGCCGTGCCAAAACAATACAAAAGCTGTACTTATTACCATCATGTAATGGTGAATAGTATCAGAAGTTATTAAAAAATATATTTATTTACTTAAATTTTATCTTGAACAGTATACATAAGGATACTCTTAAATCTTCACTATTTACACTACGTATGGATAATTTTTTAAATATAGTGAATAGTACTATGTAAAAAATACGTTTCACTAATTCGATAAGTTTCTCAATTATTGTTGCGGTGGAAATGACAACATTATCTTAAATTACGTTTATGTGACGATACACGATGATAAGGGATATTGACAGCCTAAAAAACCTAAAAGATTAGATGCTAAGAAAGATTTGAGCCTGCTTAATCAAATTTGAATGAGATTGAATTTGACTAATGCATTTACTTTACTTGATAAAACTCAACATCACCTTTATTTACATTTTACTTTGCACCTCCTATAATCTTTAAGAAAAATTGTGTTTTTCATTCTCACGGGAGACACTTTCGAGGCATAACATTGGGTTGTTTCTAAGGTGTGCAAATCCAATAATTCATGTTTCTACGATTTGGATAAATATATCTATAATTATAATTATAATAAAAAAAGTATCACATTAAGGGAGGAATCATTTTTTGGATGATTTTAACCCTCCCACTATTCAATTATTTCAATAATACCTTACGTTACATTTTTCGGTATGCAATAAATACTACAAAATTATTGTCATTTATGAAATTTATTTATGAAATTTGTGTTAGTAGTTCTCAATGAATTAACATTCACATTAATCTAGATTAAATGAATTTTTATTTCGTTTTTCGATATGTAATAAATATTACAAAATTATTGTTATTTATGAAATTTGTGTTATTAATTCTCAATTAATTAACATTTACATTAATCTAAATTTATTATAGATGAATTTATTCTTATTCATGTATCTAAAATTTTTAATGGGTGTTTAAATTTATGTATTAACAATTAATTTTTATGTATCAAATGTAATATAAAAAGATTGATCATAGTATTTCATCATTACAAAAAATTGTATCATAGAAATTAAATTTTGAGAGTATAATTTTCTTTTCTTTATGATAAATTTTATTTTCTTTGATTCGTCCGAAACTTTTTAAATCCTCCAACAAATTGGTATTAAATATTACTTTTACATCACTTATAAAATATTTTAGAATATTGCACGTTCAACTTTGACTAGAATGTACAAAAGGGTTTATCCCCTTCTCACAATGTATGGCAGGTTCCACGTGTATTTAAAAATGACGGCCCATAATCCCCACCCTATTGTAAGTAATAAGTTAAAAAAAAAAAAAAATGGGTAAAAAAATAAAATACGTGTAGAATTGTCCTTTTCTTACTCGTAGATATGTTGAAAAAACTTAACAAAACAATAATTGTTACATTTTGTCACATCTTCTAATTTAATTGACCAAACAGGCGCTCAACTATATATTATTTTCATACAAAATATAAAGTTATGTGAAAGAAACGAATAAAAAGACTTAGCTCATCCATTATTGCCCCCAGTAGTTACAAACAAACTTTATATGCCAATAAGGGTACATAAAAAATAATAATAATAATAAAAAAATAAAAATAAATAATAATAATAATAATTGATGAAGATTTCAACTTTCGCTACCACTACTATCCTCCTATGTCAAATATAACTTTTTTTTCCGATTAAATCACAGATATTGCAATTTAACTAAAAAAATCAAAAAATGACGTAAATAACTACATTTGTAGAAATAACATAGCATGAATCACAATTAATAAATGAAAAATGAAAAATGAAAAAAAAAATGGTCACATAAAAAGAATCATTAAAATGGGTTTTTGTCCACTCATCAAAATTCTTGGCCGATTAACTTTCTTTTCTTATATGTATACATTCTATTCGAAACAGTTTATCTATTATGTGTTGGCATTTTCGTCTTAAACACTTATTTCCAATTTACAAGAGGTTTTGACAATTTATGCACCATTAGGATATACAGAGAAAAACGAGTAGTAAAATTATTAAATGTAATGTCCAATTCAACGAGATAAACAAGCCATTAGATGTCCAATCAATCCTATTCATATCTCACTAAGCAACCTCAAAAACTTCAATCACTACTAGTCTTTTAGCCATCAATAGCCAGTATCATGTAAAGGGTTCATCACTGATGCTAAAATTGACTTAACCGTCCACAAAATTGACTTCATAGATATGAACTTCAAGTAGTTTGACTCATTTCCCCCCTTAAATAAACTATAAACAAACTTTTGCCCCCCTTTTTTAATACTATCTCGTCTATCCAATTTAAGGAATTAGCAGTGATACATAATTATCCTTCAGAGCTACTCGAGTACGACTGTACCAGCAGACATGTATAATTCTGCACGCCACAAAATTGCCTGTGATGACAACAATAGAATAGAGGAATCCCAAATTGCCAAATCTTATTCATGAAAAACAATCATAATACAAGTGAATATGTAAAGGTACCAAGAGAAAATCCCAAAAGCTACGAACTTTCATTTTCACCGTCTTATTTGACAGCTTATTTGTCTCGGTCGGAAGTTCTATATATCATTGTTTTGAGCACAATCTAGCAAATGGTTTCTTGGAAGGCATTTCTTAAGTGGAAAGGGCGATCGATCTTTTGCATTTCATACATTTTGGTAGTCTCTTATCATTTTAATCTATGAGAAGAGATGCATGGTTTACTTGTCTTTTTGTGTGAATAGAGGAATATCATGCTCGTTTTGTACGCCTCCCAACTTCAAGTGCGAGCTCTGTGTCAATTTTCAGGGAAATGTCGAGTGCTTTCACAGAATGGGTCAGAGCACCACTGCAAACATAGAAACATTATGAAGTGAATTACATGAAACCATATGTTGAAGCGACTGTGACTATATTCGCTTGCAAAATACAATTAATTTGGAAGGCACTATTCTTGTAGGAAATAAGGTTTCCGATATAATTGCAGCATGGTTAATAATTGAACTGTCTTAGATGCCTAACAATGTACATGAGCAATGGTTCTCTATTGCATTTTTAATGCATTGTACGAAAATTATCTAGCAATTTAGCCCTTAACAAAAGGGCTAGGTTAGCTTTGGGCAGATGCACTGAAATTAGATCTTCCCACCAATTATGAATATTTTTACATAAAAGGCTAAAACAGAAAGCAAAGGGGGACCTGTTTAACCAGTGTGATTCTCCAGCTCTTCGTCGAACTCAAGTGTGGATTGAACTAGTCGGTTCTTGGTTTAAAACATTTTGATATCTTTTCCTATATCAACCAAACTAAACCAGCCAGTCTCGTATGGGAACTATTTGGCATTTTGCCCAACGCTAAAATTCTCCCTTTCAACTTAAACAACAATAACAGGAAGAAAAAAAATAAAGGGAAGAAGTGCGTAAATATATTACCTAGAAATGTAGGTCACCCCGGATTGTCCAATCTTGTTTACAGTGTCAAGAGTAACATTCCCAGATGCCTGCACCCAAAGAAGCAATAAAGCACATGCTAGAACACAGGTCACACAATCTTAAAAGGCCATGAAATTGATAGCAACTAAGACCTCACTGCATGCTACAGATAACATCAACAGTTGCTTGAGAAGCAAAGAAAAGAATAATTACAGGGAAGAGATGAGGTGGCATGCATAGGGATACAGGTGAACCAATCTATTCATAAGAGTTTAAATTTCAATCATCTTAAGCTCATTCAAACCGTAAACCCATAAAGAACTCATCCAGAATTTTCCTAACTCTTGTAGCAGTAACCCCCGTCCTGAAATCATTTGTTATATTTGTAATGCATCCATGTTCAATACCTCATTTGGTAACAAAAGTTTGACCATCTTCAACTCCCAGAAGATAGAAGTAAAACAATCTCATCCTTATAAAAGAATACTGTGCAGCCCAAGAGAATTTTTACAATTAAAAGGGGAACCATCTGAATGCATATATAAGTTTTTTGAAAATACCTTGCCTTCGTTTTTTTCGAACGAAAGAAATGGTCCTGTATTTAATTAAATCAACCTCAAATTAAATTTCTACTTCAATTAGTATAGACGAGAACTACCGAAGTACCATAAGATTATAAAAAATCTTCATCTGATTATTCTAAGTTCTATTCATTCATGTTATTGATAAGTTTGTCCAGTCTCCTTCCAAAGGTCATTTACAATCATATATTGTGACTTAATTCTTAGGCTCATAAAATACTGATCCCTCTTAACAAGGAACCAATTTTTAGTGATAGGTGTGGCCTTAGTATCTGAGGACCTGCAAACCTCTCTAGCTGCCCACTCCAAGAAATATCTTCCACAGCATCTATCACCACTGCTCTGGCGATTGGCAACACAATGTGTTTAAAAGGCGTAATGCGTGACTAGGCGGCAAGGCCAAGCCTCACGCCTAGTCGAGCTTTTTAGAACATAGACACAAACATATGCAGTACACTTTATGTCAGTTTGTATAGCCTCATGCACATTTGTTTAGTGGGCCACCAGATTGCACCTTCTCTGAAGGAATCATTGATTCTTTAGACTCCTTCCAACAGAAGCATAGGATCTTATACAAAGTTGGCAATAAAAAATATCATATCTAAAAAAAATTGGTGCCCTCATGCTTTCTCTCTCTGCTGGTGATTAGGAGCAACTTTGATACTTGGTTCTAAGGAAAGATCACCCCTAAGTGAGATGATTCTATTTTGGATGATCCAAAGGCATTGGATTGCTCTCATCAGTCTCTTTCTGATGATGATGACTTGATGAGGCGGAGAGTGTCGTGATCAACTTTCCCCATCCTAAATTTCTACAAGTCAGACTTAAAAGATTGTAGTGAGAATGTGGTTAGCCCAAAAGGTAAAGTTTAATGGGCCACCAGATTGCACCCTTACTGAAGGAATCATTGATTCTTTACACTCCTTCCAACAGAAGCATAGGATCTTACACAATGTTGGCAATAAAAAAAAAATAACATATCTAAAACGTAAAAAATAAAAATAAAAATTGGTGCCCTCATGCTTTTTCCATCTCTGCTGGTGATTAGGAGTGACGTCGATACTTGGTTTTAAGGAAAGATCACCCCTAGGTGATGATTCTATTTCGGATGATTTGCACATTTGCTTATCATCATAGAGTCAGTATCACTATATGATCAGGCAGAAAGATTGTCATCAATGGGTAAGAAAATGCAGACACAGTCTACCTCGTCGAAGTTGACTTCTCTCAATCGTGAAGAAATTATGGAGAATCAATATAAGAATAATGAATATCTTTAGTAAGAATACAGATAGTTAAATTTAAGTTAGCTAATATTAGTTTATTATAATTTTCTAGTTTGACTTAAATAAGGATTTTTATCCTGGTTGTTTTCCTACCTAAATTAAATTAGTTTAAACCCTATATAAAGAGGGTCTTTGTGTCGTAAGACTTAATTATTGAATAAACTCATATTTCTCCCTTTAATTCTCGGAATTCTCTCCCCTTTCTTTTCTTTCTCCCTCTCTCCCCCTTTCTTTCTCCAGTCTCATTCTTGTTCAATTCCACTCTATGTCACCATATTTTTCATAATTACGCAGACTTGTCTATTGCAAACATGCAAATAGAAAAAAGTTTCAACAACTGCATGTCAGACTGAGTAATGGAGATACTACATAGGTTCATAAGCTGAGGACCACATAAGTGAGGATAAGATAGAGAAAGATGAGTTTAACAGAGTCTTGAAATTTAGAAAATAAAGAAACGAAAATAAGATTAGGAATTACCTCAGTCTCAAATCTCCCATTAATCAACTCTACAGCTTCTTTAAGCAATGATACATCAACATCCCCATTAGACAAGGGAACAACCATATTGTCCAGCATTATCCTAGTTATAGAAGTTTCCGTTTGAGATGCATAATGCAATACCTCATTTACTTCTTGGAGAGTCCTGGTTTCAATCTGTAAGCAGGCAAAATTTGTTCAACTACTAAATTATACAGCTAATCTTATCATATGCAGCAGTAGACACAGGAAAGTAGTTGGAAGGGCTGACCATGCACTTTAAGCTATTGAAATTAACCTAACACCTGAAGAATTTGCAATCTCACAAAATTTTATCTACATATTCTGCAATTATCATTCATGATATGTATACCTCAAATCACTTCTACAATGGATAAAAAAAACTATAAACTTCATCCCAGATTTTCTGTAACAACTTGGAGTTGACCAGTAATGCCACATCCACAACTTAGTTAAATTTTTATGTAACATTTAAATAATTTTAAAATAAGTAAACATCATAAAGTTTTATCATATGAAAATAATGAAAAGTAATATAATAATATGATTAATAGATTTTAACAGTTTGACTTTGTATTGAAGCCAATATCTCCCTAATAATAGAGAGGAGGGAGTAACTAAATAAAATAGTATATAAGAATACAAGAATGCTTATCTTATCATGCTGACGTACTTGCACAGTCAGACCATGAATCTGGCACAAATGATGAAATGCAAAGAACAAATAGTACGTATGTGCACAATCTCGCGCACACAGAGAGAGAGAGAGAGCTCTAATCCCAAGTTATATACTTGGGAGTTAATAAGAATCAACTGGGTAATATTCATAATTAATTGCAGGCTAAATAAAGATTTTAGAACGTTGATGAACCACACAATTTAGTAAATAATAAGTTTTCAGTTTAACAGTCAAGAATTATAATTAGTAAACCTAAAAAGTTAACACTCTACCTCAACACCCATTTTAAGATTATTTTGCTGCAAATAGAGGTCCACAGATTTCAGGGCATTTATGATACCTCCAGCAATAGATATATGATTGTCTTTTATCATGACCATATCAAATAAACCCATTCTGTGATTCTTACCCCCACCTATTAAGACCTGTAAACATTGATGGAAAAAGTCAAACTTAACAGAATAAATGGGAAATGATGATATCATAATATGGAGTTAGAGTGAGATCAGTGAACTACACCGCCCATTTATCCACCAAACGTAAACCTGGAGCAGTTTTCCTCGTCTCTAAAATGTAAGCAGGGTGCGCAGCATCTACCATAGCCTGCAAGAAACTTGAATATTGGAGTTCCCTTAATGCATAAAATCACCTATCAAATATGAAAAGCCATCTTTAATATAGTATTACTCAAATTATTTTCAGCATCTTTAATGTGGTTTCAGTATGAAATATATCATTCAAAATCTTATATTATTAATCATCATTTCCCAATACAACTAAATATAATCAAAGCCAACATCTAGTATTACTATGATTAACTAGGTGAATCTTGTTGTCAAATGTAATTCTACCAAAATTTTCAGGAATGTGCTCCAGATATCTTTAGGAAATGAAAAACTGAAAGTTATATACAACATAAATTGATCTAAAAATGCCAGTTGAAACCAACTAAGAAGTGCTTAAACTGATGATTTCAGAAGTTTCCATGTGATCATGTTCCCACAGCAGGTTACCCCTTTTAATTTGTACAATTGAAATAGCAGCTTTACATGAAAAGAAACTAGACTTCTATGGAGAAGTCTGTGAGAATGTATAACTAAAACTTTCAGATAAGTAAGCCACTTATGAGATGCATGCTACTATAAAATTATGGAAGAGATTAACCAGTAGTTTTGTGTCTACAAATAATAGATCTGAAAATTTCATTATTAATTTTTTATGAAATTCAGTACATTCTGAGAACGACAACTGATGATTTAATTATAAAATTTGGTAATTATCCATACGTTTATGAGAATGGTACGAGTATTACAGACGGGACTGGTAAGCAATGAAATTAGTACTTTTCACTTTCTACATACCACTGTATCAAAATCAGTATGCAGTCCTCTTTGGAGCTGAGGACATTCAAACTTAATCTTTTCAAGGCTAAGCCGGATACAAAATATATCCACACACATTTTATGAATGGGTCAGTTGCAGCACTAAATTTCTGATGCTACAGAGGAATTGGTGCATGCTGCAGAGCCTCAATATGTATTATTTTTTAGCTCATAAGGTGTGAAACAGAAGAAACTGGCTACATGTCCCCTTGAGAGTTCAAAGTATGGGTTTCCCCGGGAGGGACATCTCACCAATTCCTCAAATGATACGGCATGATCCCCCATAGCAACACAAATGTGAAGCCTATACAAATCAATATCATAATTGTAGAACCACCTAATCTAAAAGCTTATGTTATTAATTAGAAAGGGGATTCATTTATTTATTTAAATGTAACCTTTAACAAGCCCTCATGTGCACTTCAGATTCAATTTTTAGCAAATACCTAACAGGTCACTATTTAGCTGATTTGGTGGAAATGAGAGTCGAACTTAATAACTTTGCCAACTCTTACACCACATTGAATGAGCTCAAGTAAAAATTTAATTCTTTACATACATATGCATTTATTCACTTAAATTTAATATTCAAAGCAATATTGCAATTGGCTTAGCTCAGTGCTCTTGCGTAAATATGCCTCAATTTAAAAGGGAGCTACGAATATTAGAAATTTTTTCCTTCTGTTGATTAAGGAGAGTAACACTCTTTTTAAAGGAAGAAAAACCAACAACCAAGGTTGTAATAGAAACGGTAATTCTACATAATAAACTACAAAAGTGATAGACCCCCACCTCCAATATTCCAATACAAGTTGTTATTCTAGAGAATTCCATAGTTAGCAAAAGGGGTAGAATTGTAATAACAAACTAGTAAATTCTCTATAAATGTAATGAGGGGGAAAGCTGGGATCATTCAGGCAGAATTTGGTAGTCTCTCGGGGAGAGTAATTGGACCTCTCGAATGTCCATACCTATATCCTTGTTATTTTTCTTTCTTTCTTATCATTTGTATCCCAAGCCTGCTCATCTATTAGCAGACCTGTTTTGAGTTTTGATTGGTTCCAATATTTGATTTCTTTGTTAGTGTGTTAGATCAGTTGGTAATATTTCAGGTTCTTATCAAAAAGTTGAAATAGTCATAAGAATGTTACTTAAGATATAGGAATTAAAATCAGGACTGCTTGAGAAAATTTATGAACTAGTTTAAATCATTAACAAATTGATCAGCAGTCATATTTGATTCCCTTTTGTTTTAGTACATGTGGTAAGATTTTTAGTATAAACTGGAAACTTTCAATAATTTCCCTTGTAATTAAATAGAGAACTGAGAATTTTTCTATATTCTTATTCATTGGAAATCACGCTATATATATATACATGTACAATCTCTCTAAGGTATGCTAATTTCTCTAGTTAATTACGTTAATTTAGCTACTGAAATTAGGCTAATTAGAGACTAATTAGGCTACTGTAATTAGGTCTAATTAGAGACTAATTAGCTCGTAATGTTAGCCTATTATTCTGTAACATTCTCTCTCAAGCTGGAGCATAGATATTAATCATGCCCAGCTTGTTACAAAGATACTCAACCCTAGTCCCATTTAACGCCTTTGTGAAGATATCCCCAAGTTGCTCTCCAGTCTTTACATAACCAGTAGAGATTATATTTTCTTGGATTTTCTCACGAATGAAATGACAGTCGACTTCAATGTTTTTAGTCCTTTCATGGTATACCGGGTTTGAGGCGATATGAAGGGCAGCTTGGTTGTCACACCAGAGTTTTGCTGGTACCGAAGGCTTCAATCCAACCTCAGCTAGAAAATGTTATATCCACAAAATTTCGCATGTAGTCTGGGCCATGGCTCTGTACTCCGATTCTGCATTGGACCGGGATACAACATTCTGCTTCTTACTCCTCCAGGACACAAGGTTTCCACCAACGAATATGCAATGCCCTGTAATAGACCGTCTATCAATTTTAGATCCAGCCCAATCAGCATCTGCAAAGCCTTCAATGCAAAAATGTCCGTGATTGTTATACACTATACCAAGGCCAGGAGCTCTTTTCAGGTAACACAAGATCTGTTCCAATGTTGTCCAATGTTTTACTGTAGGCGCAGACATAAATTGGCTAACAACACTGACAGCATAAGCTATATCTGGACAAGTCACTGTGAGATAATTTAGTTTTCCCACTAGTCTCCTGTACTTTTCTGGATCATCAAAGAAATCACCATCATCTTTTGTAAGATGTACATTAGGAACCATTGGAGTGCTGCATGGCTTGGCTCCCATCTTTCCGGTTTCTGCGAGCAGATCAAGTATATACTTTCTTTGAGACAAGAATATCCCATTTTTGCTTCTTGTTACTTCTATTCCGAGAAAATATTTTAGTTGGTCCAAGTCTTTTGTGTGAAATTTGGTATGCAAAAATAACTTGAGAGAGGAGATTCCTGCACAATCATCTCCTGTAATGATAATGTCATCAACATAAATAACAAGAAGAATAATGACAGCTGCTGACTATCTGTAGAAGACTGAATGATCACATTTGCTCTTCTTCAACCCAAACTCCTGAGCTACTTCACTGAACTTGCCAAATCAGGCACGGGGACTTTGTTTTAGACCATACAGAGATTTCTTCAGATGACAGACTTTCTCATACTCCCCCTGAGCAACAAATCCAGGTGGTTGCTCCATATACACCTCTTCCTGGAGATCACCATGAAGGAATGCATTCTTGATATCCAATTGGTGTAAGGGTCAATCTTGGGATGCAGCAATGGATATAAATAGGCGAACAGATATAAGTTTGGCAACCGGAGAGAAGGTATCCGAATAATCCACTCCATAAGTCTGAGCAAATCCTTTTGCAACAAGTCTGGCTTTAAGTCTTGCTACAGAACCATCTGGATTGACCTTGACAGCAAAGACCCATTTGCATTCCACAACTTTCTTACCTTTAGGCAGAGCTACCAACTCCCATGTGTGATTTTCATCTAGAGCGTTTATCTCCTCAAACATTGCATTCTTCCAACCAGCATGACTCAAGGCTTCTTTACTGTTCTAGGCACATAGATTGAATCTAAAGAGGTAATTAAAGAACAAGACGCAGGAGACAGATGGTCGTAAGAAATGAAGTTAGCAATGGGATAAATAGATTTAGGGAGAGTACACTGGCGTTTACCTTTGCAAAGACTAATGGAAAGGTCAAGGTCGTTCGGAGAATCAGATGACGAAGTAGCCGATGCAGGACATATATCATTGGTCTCTTGCCTTCTGGAATAAACGTGGATAACAGGTAGAAGAGCTCGAGCTGTTTCAAGTAGATGTCTATTCTTTCTATCAGCAACTCCATTTTGAGAAGGAGTATCAATACAAGAGGATTGATGAATAATCCCATGATGAGTCATGTAAGTCTTTTGCATTATCACTTCTTAGTATATGCACAGAAGTATTAAATTGGGTTTTAATTTCAGCATAAAAGGCACAAAAATGAGAGAACACTTCAGATCGATTTTTCATAAAGTAAACCCATGTCATTCGAGAAAAATCATCCACAAAAGTAATAAAATATCTAAACCCAGTTTTAGACACAACAGGACATGGCCCCCAAACGTCAGAATGAACCAACTCAAAAGCAGACTCAGCTCGTTTATTAATTCTCGGACCTAATGAGCTACGGTGATGTTTTGCAAAATGACATGGCTCACAATCTAGTGAAGATACATCGTTGAACTGAGGGCATCGTTTCTTCAATGTAGACAGAGATGGATGTCCCAATTGACAATGTGCTATAACCAGGGAGCTGGTACTAGAACAAGCAACTGATCGAGGCACCCACGTATCAAGAATATAGAGACCATCAGATACATGTCCTTTACCAATAATCTGCTTCGTCATAAGATCCTGAAAAAAGCAATGATCAGGAAAGAATGAGATACAACAATTAAGATCCTTGGTAAGTCTACTTACAGAGATCAAATTAAAAGCAAGTTTTGGTAGACTCAGAACGGATGACAAGGTAATAGAGGAAGTTGGTTTAACAGTCCCAGATCCCACAATGTTATAGGTTGACCCATCAACTATGGTAATAGGAGAGGGAGCTTTGTGTGATCGAAAGCTAGAGAAGGTACTAGAATTACCTGTCATGTGATCTGTGGCTCCTGAATCAATTACCCATTTCTTTGAAGAGGAGATAAGACATGTTTTACCTGACTCAGCAAGGGCAGTAACTGGAGGGGATTCCTTCAGTGATTCTTGATACTGAGAGAATTTGGCATACTCATCACCTGATATCATAACAGTTTTCTCAAAAGATGAACTAGGAGCAGTAGCAACATTGGCGGTCTGAGTTCTCTGATTGCGATTTTGCAATTTCCTACAGTATGGCTTGGTGTGGCCTGGTTCATGGCAGTAGTAACACACAACGCTGCTTGAATCATAGTTACGGTTATCAGTATTCTTGTTTCCTCTTCCCCTATTGTTGGGCCTCCTTGCATAGTAATTTCCCCCTCCTTTGGTAACAAGAATTATTTTGCTGAATAGGTGATGTATTTTCAGTGCGTAGAACTCTACTGAAGACGTCTTGAAGAGAGGAAATTTCAGAGCTAGAGAGAATTTGAGATTTGAAGTCTCGAATTCAGGAGGAAGACCAGCCAGGAAGCTCATAACTGCCATTTGCTCCCTTTGAATTTGCTGAACTTTGACATCAGTGCTGAATGGCAATAGCATATTAAGTTCTTCATACGTCCTTTTGAAGTCCATGAAATAAGTTGTGAGGGACTTGGTTTCCTTTTCAGCATGGTAAAAAGCCCTACAAACTTCATAAATTCTTGACACATTTCCTTTGCCAGAATACAAAAACTCCAAATAGTCCATTAGCTCTTTTACAAATTCGCAGTGATTAATTAAACCAATTACCTCACTGTCACTAGAATTTCTGATTTGTAAAAAAAAGTTTTGTATCTTCTCTCAACCAACTTTGTTTTGTATCATCTTTAGGTGGATCTTTATTTAAGTGATCATCTTTGTCTATGCTCCGTAAATAGATTCTAATCGTCTTACTCCATTCCAGATAATTAGTGCTATTCAATTTATGTTCAGCGATTTTGGACATCACTGGAATGATCTCGCTCACAGATCCCTTGAACTCAGTCATCATTCAATTATCCAATAATAGGCAGATTGAAAGACTCAATTAATCCAACTCAAACAAAGGTCCACAAATAATCCACCAAGTCTAACAGCCCAAAGTTAAAATAAATATATCCAATATGGCCTAATTAAATAGATCACGTGTGTAGAGCCCAATAGAATATAAGTACCCAACTCACCAGAAATTAGCCAAAGAAAATCCCGTAATTCAAGATGGCCGACCAGAATTTTCCGTCCACAAAACAGCGTCACAAAGACGCGAACCAGAGGCGGAATCGCACAGTGGGTAGGAGCTAATCTTTTACTAGAGGGAAAGCTGGGGAAAAGCATAGAGCATGCGTGCTCAGCTCTCTGATGCCGCCAGAAATCCGGAGGCAAAGGGTTGACCATAGTGAGGTCGACACGCAAAGATGTCGCCTAATTCAAAGAACCGAACCACGGGTAAGATGGTTCATGGCTCTGATACCATGTAATTAAATAGAGAACTGAGAATTTTTCTATATTCTTATTCATTGGAAATCACGCTATATATATATATATATATAGAGCATGCGTGCTCAGCTCTCTGATGCCGCCAGAAATCCGGAGGCAAAGGGTTGACCATAGTGAGGTCGACACGCAAAGATGTGGCCTAATTCAAAGAACCGAACCACGGGTAAGATGGTTCATGGCTCTGATACCATGTAATTAAATAGAGAACTGAGAATTTTTCTATATTCTTATTCATTGGAAATCACGCTATATATATATATATACATGTACAATCTCTCTAAGGTATGCTAATTTCTCTAGTTAATTACGTTAATTTAGCTACTAAAATTAGGCTAATTAGAGACTAATTAGGCTACTGTAATTAGGTCTAATTAGAGACTAATTAGCTCGTAATGTTAGCCTATTATTCTGTAACATCCCTCAACTTGGGTCATAATTGTTCAATGTACTACCTTGCTTATCAATTCTTATAACTATTTTGGTAAGCCCTTGTTAGAATGTCCGCGAGTTTATCTTTCTGTGATGACATAGCGTATAAATTTGGTTGTTCTCTGTTCCTCTGTGAAAAGCCTATCTATCTGCACATGTTTTGTCGAGTTGAAATGGTGTTGCGAGCGATGTTGTTGATCCCTTTCATCACAAAGTGTAACCAGATTGTTGTTGTTCCACACAAGTTCTTTTGTTAATACATTTTAGCTACATCAGTTCTCTCCCCTATACCATCTATCCAAATTTGTTTCAGCACTTGACCTTGTCACTAAATGTTTATTACTCTTCCAAGTTCTTAGGTTACTCTAATAAAAGTAAAGTATCAACATGCGGATCTTCCATCACTTATTCAACCAGTCAAGTAAACATATGCCATGCATCTATCTCAGAGTGATTGTTTTTAACAAAAAGGAAGTCATTTACCCATACTATACTTAGGGAATCTCAAGATCTGACCACTGCATTCGTGTGATCCTCATTGGCAGCATGCGTTGTTGCATCCCCTAGTTGACTAGGTCAATAATATGCTCTCTTCACGACCAAAAAATATCATGTTTTGTCTTGCAATCTCCTTAATAAAGTATCTCACCTTCTTTTTTACATCTCAAATTCGATGGCAAGAGATCATTTTAGTTTCTCTGCATCAGTAACATTATTCTAAGTTAAAAATGATATCATCGCCACAGACAATCATAACAATGACTATACCTCTACCAGCGTGCTTATAGAACTTGGTGTGATCAATATGACTTTGAAGATATCCCATAATTTGAACAAGCATTGAAAACCTTCCAAACCAACCCATGGCAATAGTTTCAAGCCATGAATGTATTCACTTTCCTTGGAATTCTGCTCCAAATCTTGATAGTGGCTCCACTTATTCTTCCTCCTGTAGCTCTACATGTAAAACGGCATTATCGCAAAACAACCCATAGAAATTATAATTCCTTTCTGATTTGGACTGTTTTGTGTAATTTATAAGATTCTTCTCCGTAATTCAAGATCAACGTCAAGGTGAACACACAGCTTCAGCACCTTCATGATTGTTCTTGTCATAGACGAGCTTCATTACCCCAATTCACCAACAAAACACCTAGCATGCATTTGTAGATTTATTGTCCCATCAAGAAGATTTGGAATTGTGTATCATGGCCCCAGTCTGTCAGTGTATGACGATCCAAAATAATCACCCAAAACTAAGGCATGCACACGGTTACACACAGGAATGCATGTTTTCATATGAAATACTAATCATGCCCATTTATCATGAAGACAGACAAAAAGTTTTATTCAGCAGTTCAACAAATCAATTATTAAATCAATGAATTTCAATTAACTACTCTATAAATAATAGAAAATCATAGAGACAAACACACCTTAGTTAGAGTAGCTATTCCACTCATTCTTTGCATAAAGTTAAGTACAACCCTTTCAGCTACAACAATACTGTGGGCTCTTCCTGCGTACTTTTAGAATGAGTTGAAAGACAACAGAGTTTTCAATTAAAGAAATAAAAACTTCAACTCCAGAAACAAATTTTCCTTTTACCATGTACTTTGCCAAATTGGAGGCCTTTATGTACACTATCCCCATCTTTTCTGTACCAGTCAACCTGATATCAATATACACAAACAATTAAAATTACAATTACCTCACTTTTTCTTTAAATTGCTGTCATAGTGAAGTTGATACATGAGTGAAACTTTGAGTAATCGTTTCAATCTTTCTCTACCAAATCCAGAAAAAATCTGCTTTTACTGGATATTTTATTGAATCCACATATTTGAACTTGTTGACTTACTACATAAGGCAAACTGTGTACCTTCAGGGAAGGATCGACCTCGCCAAATACCATTTCTGCAAGTGCAATTCCAGCCACAATCCCATCCTCCTTTGCCAAGAAATGGGCTTCCACTTCCATTTCAGCAGGAATGGTTGCCTTACAAGTCACATCTCCTACATTTTTAATCAAACAGAATGTCACTCGGAACTTCGTAACCTTTGATATGCCCTTACAATTAACCAATTCCTAGCCAGGTGCTAAATAAATCGACAAGAGCATTCCAATAACCAAACAAAGAAAACCGTAAAATAAGAAAAGAAAATGCATACTGGCAATTAGCCTTCAGCGATACACAAACTTCAAACAAAATTTACACTTCAACTTACTAGCATTCGCTATTTTTAGTACATATCCATTGGCCAACCAAAACTACAAGACTAATTGATGATTAAAAGTAATTTTCGAAGTACACCACATACATAGAAATTAAAACATTCCATCTGATGCCAAATACATATACAATTCAAAAAATATAAACCAAGCAGTAAAATCGTAATTTTACCTCGATCCCCGGCATCTTCTGAGAGGGCAAGTTGTATTACGCCCTTCAAATCATAAGTGGGGTGTGCGGGAGGCTTCACCACCAGGGACCCAACTGACATTCCCACGTTTCTTGTAGCTGTAGCTGACATTCTAACAATCAATCTGCAGTTTTCCCCCCAAAAAATAAAAATCTTTGTAACTGAAACCAAAATGCAACATCTACACACACACATAAACATATATAAACCTACAATATATCAACGGACCTTGAAGGTGTAATTCGATTGGAATATAACAAGGGAGAAATAGAGAAAGCCCTGGACATCGGGTTTGAACGGCGATTTATTGTTAGTGATGAAGTTGACGAGGGGTGCGTGGAAAATATGGAAAGAACTCAACTTTATCGGAAATTTGGAATCAAAAACTTTCACACGACTTATGATATGTTTCCGCTTTTGTAATGTTACATATTATTGTGATATTTTGATAGTTTCAATTTCAATTTTTAGTCATTCTACAATACTGTATTGTGAAATTTTTACGTCGATTTTCAAGTTAAGATTAAGTTCATATTCGGTATTTAATTTTAATTCAAGTTAATTTAATAATTAATTTTAATCGTTGACCTCGTTTTCTGAGGACAACAAATGTCAGACTCAGTCGCGCACACATGAACTAGTTCTAACACGTAAGAATTGGTTATTAGTCGTCAATGCTTCGAAAATGTGGACGTGGGAGAAGCTTGACGGTAAGACAAGTGCGTTTAGGTTTTGCACGATAGATTTGTGAAATGATTGTGTAATGATAACCAATTGCATATAATTCAATCAAATTGAAGTAATGTAAACTCATAGCTAAAGAAGTGTAAAATTCATAAAAGAGAAAGACAAAGAGTGGCTTTTTTGTATTTTGAGTAGCATTAGCCTTCAAATGTTATATAGAGGGAGTATTTATAGTATTACAAACGAAATGGTGGTCTTTGGATAAAGGTACGTATGGTATCATATTCTTAATCGAAGCATCTAATTCTAGACATCAATTTGGACTCGCTAGCCTGTGGTGTATCTAATATTTACACGGACCGGCCACCCTATTTGACAAGGCTTGACATTTTATACTTATTACAAAGTCCCATTAATTGTTCTAAAAAGATTTTATCCATAAGTTCAGGATATTCTGGGTGTGGATCGTCACTTGCTGTGACAGGTTTTGGACTTTGTGGAGCTTTCTTACCTCAACACCTCCGCTTTGGTAGAAGAGGTATAAATGAGCATCGGACTAATATCCCAGGCCTCGTCACTTGTGTGGAAGGTTTTATTGGAGGTGATTTCAATACTTTGAGTTTGTCGACTAATCCAATAATTGACCAGAGAACTTCAATAGGTCGACCACATGGACGAGAGGACCTTGGTGAAATGGAGCTACGTGGGGCGAGGTTTAATGTTAATCACATATTTTATGGGATCCACAATTTTTTAATTATATAATTTGTCATTTTTTATCAAAATTTACTAAAATTTTGATTTTAATTTTTTCCAAACAGGGGTAAGTATTGTTTCTAGGAGAGAACATAAGTATTAAGCTTGTTGGCATTCAGTAGAAAATGAGTAGATGATCCACGTCTAGATGATATTATTGAGAAAGTCTCGTGTGTTTTAGTATTTTAAGTTGAAACACGTCTGTAATATTTGGTATAAATATTATTAAAAATACTGTAAATGTTTTATTTTTATTTTGTATGGACATTTTTGTGTGGAGAATGGGTTGGGAAATTTCAATTCTTGAATCATTGATCTTCGTTGGAAAAAGGATAATTTCTCAATAATTGGGACGAGGATTTTTACACTGGTTAGCTATTCTATAACTACAGTAATATATTGTTGTTCATCCAAATACTCTATGTTTTACCGAATAAACTTTTAGGGCACGTTTGATTATAAGTATAAAATTTGCATAGAAAGAAAATAAATTATAGATAATTCAATTGTCTAAAACTTATTTGCATGAAAATTGTTGATTATATTTGTGTTGATTAATTTAATTTTCAACTTAAAAAATATTATACTTGCCTAATTTTTATTGGTGAATAGATGAAAGAGGGTAGATAGATGAGAGAGAAAAAAAGAAGATGAATTCCCTGAAAAATAAAATCATACTCCTCTAAAGAAAATATTTTCATAGATTTTGAAAAAAATATGGTCATCTGACCAAAAGTAAGAAAATTTTTTCTGTGAAAAAAAATTTAGTCAAACAGCACAAAAATATGAATTTGAGCAAAAAATACTTTTTTCAAGAAAAATATTGACAATCAAACATATCCTTAAAGTAATATTATTCATATTACAATTACACTACTAATTACAAGCGGCAAAAGGATATTAAAGGCACATTTGGTTTGCAATTTTTCATTTTTGTTTCGGCAAAATATCAAAAACTTGTTGCGACTAATATTTTTGAAAATGTATTTATCAATTGATATAACCCATTTCGAATCACCTTAATAGATTTGAAACGTAGTGTGGGCTGATGATGGATCTCGTCTAGGCATGCCCACACCATCCAAGTTGACTTTTATCTTCTTTGACTGTAATAAATTTTAAAAAAAAATTGACAAAAATTTTCATATAAATTATATTAGAATAGTCAAGTTGGTTATACATAAATTTGGTTCGTAGGTATTAGACGAAAGGCAGTCCCCAATATCTTTCAGGAAATATATGTTTGTGAAAAATTTGATGTTTACCAAGTTTGAAAATAAAATTAAACTTATAACATAAAACTCTAAATGCATTTTCGATATTTAAGTGTTTTTAATAAAATTTTGAAAACATTCAAAATATGAGACATAAGTGCTCAAATAAAGTTTTATTTAAGTAAAATTCCAAAAATTTAAATTCTTAAAAAATATATGTATAATTCAAAATTTTTTTTTGATATATTATAAAAGAATATCACTTTTGAAAAAATAAAATGTAAATTTCAAAGAATTTAAAATTCTAAAAGCTAAAATCTAAAAATCAAATTTAAGAATTAAATTTAAAAAAATAAAATTCTAAAAGATAAAAACAAAAATAGTCCAAGCTGTTAATGGTTATTCACATAAAAAATTAGGAAAAAAATATTTTATTGAACGTTAACAAAATAAAAATGTTAAGTGTATAGGTTTTGTTTCACGGATTTTTTTACAGATGTTGCCAACAGCATCTGTATGGTTCAAATTTTTTTTTTTTTTATCATTATTATTATTTTTTATCTTTCATCTATCAACTTGATTTTGCCAAGTAGCCCATTTGTATGAATTTTATGAACCATATTATGTAACTGTAGCAAGGTTGTTGGCAAAAATTCTCAATCCACATAACTTTCGGGAAAAACATGGAATGACCTTTCAAAAGGGTTAGTTTTCCAAAATGACCCTTAGACAAATTTCATACCAAAAATACCCTCCATTTGAATATTACATAATAAGGTATCATAATATAAATTTTTTTTATTTTAGCCCTTAAAAATTTAGACATTGATTGAAACTTGATAATTTTATTTAATTTATTTGATTAATATTTTATTTGATTTATTTGATTTTTGTTCGCTCTAAGTAGCCCCCCTTTTATTGGTATCAGCGCCATAGAGATCATGTAAATTAAAATAAAGAAAATAAATAATTATTGGAGTTTGGAAGAAAAAAAATGTAGTTATATATTTTTAAAACCTATTCATAACAAATTAAAAATAATCACTTTAATAGTAATTAAAGAACTTCCTAAAGAAATAAAAGAACAAATATTAGAAAATTAATAATAGAAACAATAAATGATATATATACATATGAAAAAAATTATTAGTATATATGAAGATGAAGAAAATAATTTATATTATAAAGAAAAATATGAGTGCAATCGATAATACACATCAAAAATTGAATAAATTACTTTTAAAAATGGATAAAATACAAGAAGAAATAAGAAATATAATGTTAATACTAGAAGGAATGAGATTATAAAAAAATAGACAATTAACAAAATTAAAATGTGAAAGACTAAGACTGGAGAGCAAATATTTCACTATAGTAAAGAAGAATTAGTAGATTCAGAAATAGCTGAGAGAAGATTTAGAAAAATAATAGATAAAAAAGAAGATAAAAGATGCAAATTAACTTACGAATTAGAAATAAGAAAAAATTAAGATATCAATAAGTGAATATATGGAAGAATTAAAATTATGAATAAAAATGTTAATAAATGATATACAAGATTTAAGAAATGAAGTAAAAGAAACAAGAAATGATATAAATATATTAAAAATTGAGATTAGAGAATTTAAAAAAATAATAAGAATAAAGATAAAAAAATAGATAAAAAAATTTATAGAAAAAGAAATGACTCGAATAGAAAAGAAATATATAGAATAAGAAAATATAGTAATAGAAACGGGACGTATGGATGATGAATTTAGAAAAAAATATTTTACCAAAGATATTAGAAGAAGAAGAAATTAGAGAAAAATCATTAGGAAAATTAAAAGTAGAAGAAAAAGAAGATGAATGAAGATTTAGATTTGTTAATAGAAAATTTTGATCAATTGAGTTTAATTGATATAAGTGAATACCAAGTTTTAATGAACACTGGAGGAGGACCTAATCCAGCAGTAACCTCTAAACAGGAATTACATGATACAGATAAAAGTTATGCACATATATATAATAAATTATATTGACAATTCTATGATAAAGTAAGAGATAGACAACCACCTAAAAAAAATATATATATAATGATAGATTTGGATTAAATGATTATTATGATAAACCAATTAATCATGGAGGAACAAAACTAGATTTAAATTGTAAAATAGATACTAAAAAAGCCTTATTAACTTGGGTTGATTCAATAATATTATTCTTTTTATATAACAAAAATGACACATGGGAAAATAATGAAAGAAGAATAAATTTCTTAATTGCATCATTTGAATGAGATGTTAGAAATTGGTGGAAGGAATAAGTAATGATACAAAAACATTAATAAAAAGAAATGTACAAACAAAAATAATCAAATCAGATAGACACGGTATAAAAAAATTAGTAGAATATATTTTAGATGAGTTTTTAGGAGAAAATTAGATAAGAAATGCTGAAGAGGAATCAATAAGAGAAAAAGATAATACTAGGATAAAATTAATAAATTTAACAATATGTGATATGTGTAAAATTAAAGAATATACTTGTGAATTTGGAAATTACTATTATATTCAGTTTTATAGTAATGAAAATCAAGAAGTATACCAAGACATGTATTATAATAAGTTACCAGGTTCATGGGGAATATATTTTAAAATAGAATTTGAAAAATATGTTAGAGATAATAATGGAATACCTAGGACTTTAGGTTCAAGAATAAAATTTTTATTTGAAAGACTTGCATATATATGTCAACAAAGGCAATTA